TCGTATCCACGCTTGTCGTATCCACGCTTGTCGTATCCACGCTTGTCGTATCCACGCTTGTCGTATCCACGCTTGTCGTATCCACGCTTGTCAATATTTCGCTTTTCGTAGTATGGTTTAGCGTCACGCTTGTCAATATTTCGCTTTTCGTAGTATGGGTCTGGAATAAAAACGGAATTAATAACCTTTCATTGATGATTAAATTTATTATATACCACATCGGAGATGGTGATGACTATTTTACCTGCAACTACGACAGAAGCCAATAAAGTCACAACAGCAACAATGGAACAGAACTTCATTATTATTATTATTTGTTATTCGTTCTTTTTATAATTTATTATTATTATATGTTATTATTATATGCTTTTTTTTTTTTTTTGAAGACTTGTTAAGAATCAAGCCGGGGAATTAGAGAAGGTTTATATAGATATTTCTTGTCATAAGATTTACGACAAAATATTACACTCGATGCTTAGCGAACTATTGAACTATTGATGTGGTATAATAATAATTTAATTCATTATTAATTATTAATTTAAAGAACGCCACTAAGGCTTTGAATTTGTTATCAAGGATTATTTAGATAAACCTCAAAACAACGAGAGATTCTTACGATAACACGTCGGTTAAAATACAATCGATTTAATATAGTAGCATAAATTTAAACGTTGATTTCAGAAATTGCTTAGTGAAATTAACCAATGATGAAATTTATTTTCGCAAATGTATCTAGCCTAGGGTTTGCAATGGGCCGGGTTGGGCCGGGTTTGCCTAAACCCGTACCCGGCCCGTTAAATTATGAGCCCAGCTCAGGCCCGGCCTAACTTATTACGAGTCTGAAAAATCTAGGCCTTGCCCAGCCCAGGCCCAGTCCAACTATTATGGATCTGAAAATTTGGCCCGTGCCCGGCCCGAACTCAGCCCAACCCGCAAATTAGCGGGGTTGACCCGGCCCATTGTGAACTCTACCTGTATTTAACCAGACATACGTAGGGTGCGGAACGGGCCGGGCCGGGCTCGGGCCTAGTTCGGGCTTATATTTTGAGCCTGTTTATTATTCGGGCAAGTTCAAGCTGGGCTTGAAGAATACCGGGTCGGGCTCGGGCTTGTTGAAAAGCCCGGGTAGGACTAGTGATGTGCCGCGTATAGTACAGTACGCAAAAAATTTTTTAGAATATTCTAGAACAAATTATAAAACCATTCATATCTCAAAAGTTTCCTTATGAAACCACCTTTTGTATTCTAATTAAAATTACTCCTTGCAAAATTTTGCATATAGATAGTTTATATATCATACATATCGCTAAAAAAAATCTGGATATATTACATACTTACGTACATACAATTTTGTAATCTTATTGGATCTATTATTATTATGCTGAAATTACAAACGTAACCGAATCGGCCAAAAAATCATTCGGCCAATTATTTGTCAAGTGTTCAAGAAATTATGACACAGCTGTTTTCATAAATTTTGAAACACCTGATAAAAATCGCCGAATGATTTTTTGGCCGATCCGGTTAAGTAGGTGATTTCGGCATGATCGATATATAATAATAACGATAAATTACAATTGGGACACTTCAAGATCAATGAACTAGTGATCATTACATCACGTGAAATCACGCAATTACGTCATTTGTTTACTAGCACTAACAAATCGGCCAAAACTATACTATTACCTAACCCTAAAACTAACCTTAATTTAGGCCGAGTGTTTAATCATGTGATGTGATGATCACGAATCTATCACTGGATCCACTGATCTTGAAACTTCTCTTACAATTTATGTTTCGCTATATACATATAAATTACATTGTAATTTGAAATATATATGTTTTCTCACAGACTAAACACACTATAGCACTAAACATTGGGACTGTCTGTCAGCTAAGTAAATCAAAACCATATATTGTATTATATAAAATTTTGTTATAAAATTTTTCGTGATAAAGATTTAGATGCAGGGCTCTCACAACAAAAAATTAGAATCCCAAGCTTTGAATGGATCGACAAAAAGTTTTGCAATGCAAGTTACAGAGCCAAATTTACCAGAAGCTTAAATTTCATCCAGATTATCCAAACAACAGATACACATAAAAAATATACATAAAATAAGTTAGAAAAAAATTCGTTCTTCATATCAAAATATAATAAAATTACCCTGCTATCATGGCTGTCCTGTCTGTACCAAAATATCTGATTGGCTGAAAACTATACTATAAATTCAAAAAATTTTATTTATTGAAAAAAAGAATCGAATTGTAATACTATATGAAAATAATATGCATATACTGTACTACATACTTTATATGTACGTATGTATGTACGTACCTGTTTGAATCTAGATCCTTCGATCATCCGCATGTTTTATTGAACAAATTATTTTACATCATACTGAAGTCAGTGCATGCATGCATAATTGTTATTTTCACGTTGGCTCTGGAATTGTGAGAAATTTTGTTCATAAATATACATTTTAACGATACTTGGGAAAAAAATAGTTGCACTTGCTATGATTACAACAAAATTCTATCAGTTCACCTATAAGAAGGTTAACCAAGCAATGAGGGCACTTTCTATTCCAGATAAAAGTTAATGGTTGTAAAGCAGTTCCACTCAAAGCACATAATACATCTCATCAAGATTCATTTTCACATTTAGATTGGTTTTGGTAAACATTTGTATTTGTATCTTGTCTAGCTCTATACTGACGTTTGTATATAGTATTTTTTCATCTTTGATTAATAAGTGTTTCATATCATTGAGTTTAATACGTTGTTTCATTCGATATTGATGTTTATATTCGGTATTCTATGGTTTTTGCCTTGTTTGAGGTCTTGATTGTTTTAAAATATTTTTTTGATTTCCTCGCAAACGCATTAAAGGTTTTTTTTTTTTAATTTTATATGAATTTACTTAAATGAATAAATAAATAAATATCACACATTGATGGATTAAGTAAATTATACTTTAATTAATCATTTCACTTCATATACAATATTTTACAACAATAAGAAATTTTCATATAAAAGAATATATCTGCGAAAGTTCATATCATGCCTTTTTTTTATGGTTTATCATTCACATAATTTCATAAATATTTTTAATTTATTTAAAATATATGTGTATAAAATAAAATAGTAACTAATTTTTTTCTCAAGTATTGTTGTTGTTTAGATGCATATTTATGAACAATATTTTTGAGTCATGTTAAAATTTCCTATAAAATTTTCATAAGTATTTTTTACTTCACGTTCATTTAAAATAAATATGCATAAAATAGCAACTAATTTTTTTCTCAAGTATCATTATTGTAAAAATGCATATTTATAGAGTGTGTGAAAATAGCTATCATGCATGCATATACTGATTTAATCTGACGTAAATTAAAATTTTCATTTTTTTAAAAGTGTACAATTTCTAAATAAATGCTTATAAAATAAAATAGGATACATTCTCAATGATCGCAATATTAGCACTCTTTCTTGAAAACTTAACACACTCTTTTTTTTTACGGCAATTGGCGTACAAGGTCAATTTATACATCTTTTTCTGCCATCCTCAGTTTGCATTACCAGACGTACTTATCATCGTATTCTTCCAGCAAATATCCCTAACCATTCAATACACTAGTATTTCTATGATGAAGAGGAACGACATTTTGCTGCTCAAAGTCATAGAATACCTAATCAATGGATGTTAGCAGTTCAATCTATATTAACACTTATTAATCCTTATGTTCATTCTTTACAGATGCTTCGAGATAATTTATCTCATACTGGATCACTCGAACTACGTGAAAACACTTCTACTGGTAAGGTTGTGCAATAATATATGCAAATAATACTGTTAACGTATCGCTACAAAGCATTATTATTTGGCACCACTCAGATGCTTTATCTAAATTTATAAATATTCTCAGCTCTCAATATGAGCCACTCCAATATCTACTACTTTTTCCTCATGGAACACCAGGGTGGCATCCCAATAATTGCTATAATTTGTCACAGATTGATTGGTATCGATGTCATTTATTACATGAGCAGTAGTTTTTAATATTCGAAAGGTTGACATCTGAATATTTGGTGGACATGTACTTACGTGTTGAAGAAGAAAGATTAAATTATATTTTAAATGAAAAAAATCGACTTAACAAAGAAAGAAAAATTCAGAGATCAACTACTGTAATTATTGAAGTTGACTTTGAAGATGAAGATGATAGAGATGAAGAAAAAAATCTATACCTTTCCACCTCATTCTTAGGATCAAAAAGGTGGTGTTCTACTCGCGTTGCCAATGCCCTTACATTTGCTTGTTGCAGAGGAAAGCCGAGCTTTTTTATAACAATGACAACTAATCCAAATTGGAAAAAGATTAAATCATTATTAAGACCTAGACAAAATGCATCAGAATTGGCAACAATAGTCGCACGTGTATTCCACTCACGTTTTGGAAAATTAAAAGATCTGTTACATGAACATTTTGGAAAAATAGCTTACATAGTTAATGTAATAGAGTTTTAAAAATGTGAGCTTCCCCACGCTCGCATTATTATGCGTATACACCCTGAGTTTCCGATAAACCAAAGTGATAAAATTATATTAGCTGAAATGCCTTGTGAAAATATGCACTTAAAAGAAATAGTAAAAACATATATGATTCACAGGCAACAGCACTTGT